CCCCTCCCCCCTCCCACACACTTATGTGACTAAACGTTACAAAGTTGTTGATGACCGTACTAAAAAAATTAATTTCAAACGCCTCGGAGATTAATAACAAACTCAGCAGAAAAGAAGAATGGCAGTTCCATCTGATGATCCGCAGAAGTGAGCGGCATCATCGGTTTTTGCTACTCTCCAAATGTCATTAACAACACAAAAGTAAACACTACAACTCTGATTAAGCAGATATTATTTTAAATTGTTCGTTTCTCCATATGGAAATCTAGAAGTCTTTGCCAAGATATGTGCGCTTACCATATATTCTAAAGGAGGCCCAGCTAACCAGTCTAAAGCTGAGAGCTTATCCTTATTTTCACTGTTAAACAGTTGGAAATGGATAGGAAAGCGTACTACCATCAGTTTATCTACTACTTTAATAACAGAGTCCGTTTCTGATATCACTGTTTCAAGAACCTTATTGTGCGGGGTTGATCTCGGCTTTAATACCATCAAGAACCAGTAGATTTTCTGTGAAGTTCAAGTAGTTAATAATTGGTAGATCAGTGAACTCATTGTTCAAATATTGGTTAAGTAATTCGCCTTTGGAAGTTCTGAGGAACATAGTTAAATAAGTACCGCTTTGCTGGAAGAAAGCGACAAACAGCACTGGCCATTCTGCCATTAACATCACCTTCTATAACATACAGCAATCCTGACGGTTGGCGTTGTTATAGAGATCGATATCCCACCATTAGGCACATAAAACGAAAAATGCTGCAAATCACGGAAGACTGTGGAAATTCGACAGTATGCCAGTGTTGACAAACCTCCTTCGATTCTATATGAAGCAAATATCTACAGAGACCTGACAAGCGCGACGTAGCTTACTGTTTTCTTTACATAATATGCAACTAGCTTATGTACGTCAGATAGGAGAAAAGCCATTTATCAAAATTTTCTAAAACATTATTTCCGTACTAAACCTACATCCATTCTTGTGGAACACAGGCATGACTACTAAAGTACACATACGTCTTGTAAAAGACATCTTTGTCGTTTTAAGCATGCAAAGTGGGGCTCCGTCGAGTGAGTTATGACTGATCGTAAGGGATGAGTTTTTCGACTGCTAAATGGATGCTTTAAACTTTACAAGACAGGAAACATTAAGTTTGTAATGAAAAATGCAAATAACTAGACGCGGATGCAACACCGGTGGAGAATTGACCCCGGCTTTCTCTCCCATCCCGAAATCGAGTTTGTACAGAAAGCATGACCGCTGGTTCAAAGGTATTTGTTGCTCAAGGAAGGGTGAGTAGAAAACGTTTTCTTATGTAGCAAAGGTCTTCAAACCATAACAAATATTATATGAACCAGGTTATGCGGCGTTTGTCTTTCCTTATCATAGCGAATTTTAGTAGTTCCAATTTCATCACTGCAACAATGGCATTCCATATTCTTTGTAATTTTGTTAAATGTCCTCTGCTACCGTTCTTTCATAATCTTGATATCCTCTAAAGTACCTCCACAAAGAAACTCACCCATAAAACGCAGAATAAGGCTAGTGGGTTGAAAGATGTTTAAGGGGTAAATGAAAGAATAAACATGTATTTAGGTAAGTGGGTGATGCAAAAAATAGTTTTACCTCACCCCGTTAACTGCAACTGATAGACAAGTATAAGCAGGAAATTAACAGACAAAGCAATTAACAAGAAAGTTCTTCCGTGAGATCTGTGCGCTGTCCAACAATGTCGCAGAGCTAGTGAACCGCTGGTACAACAGTAGAACTTCCGACGTTAGTGAACCAGCATCTTTGCTTTAAAGGGGCCCGTAAATGACTGGCCGAAACATCGGCAATTATCAATCATCCGAGTGACCATTTTTTGCACTGTGCATAAATAAACCATTAACCATTTAATGCTGATTTTAGTATAACCTCCAATGCACGAACCTAACATACCTAACCCACGGACGAGGTAAATGGGAATATAATATTAAACGCCTTAAAGACGAATATTATTCACTGTTTAAAATGGAGTTTAACCTGCACTCAAAAACAGACGTATCCCATTCTAATATTAGACAAACGTTTACTTTCAGTGGCAGCCAGGAGAATCATGACGGCGTTCAACGACAGTCCCATTTTCACATTCTTCACGCAAGAGTCGAAGTCGTATTTCGTCTGGAATCGGTAAATGTAGCTGAGTCGATCGGCGTCGTAATGCCGCAGCAGACAAATGTGACTCACGTCTTCAGGGTCGCCCACTTTCAGCCAGTTCAGCACGCTGAACACACCCAAGATGATGCAGGCGACTGTCGACAGCACGGCGAGGACAAGTAAGGCGACGAACAGGTTCGTTCTGTCGGTTCTGACCGCCACTATGCCAAGAATAACGGTTATGAACAACAACAGAGCCGTCCAGACGCCGGTGTAGTACGGGCAGAAGTCCGAGAAGCAATTGCACGTTAAGCCGGTCGGCAGAAGCAGGAACGCCACACAGGCATTGAATATCAATATCCGGAAGAGGCAGGGGTATTCCTTTAGGGGGTTTATGATTTCGTACGCGTGGCTGAACGAGTAAACAGGCGGCGGCGGCGCCGTAGAGACAACCCGGGGATTCAACACTGACGCCGATGAGTCTGGTAAGGTTTTGTCCTGCCACTCCAGTTTGGCGTTGAACCCCAGAGGGGCTGTTTCTTCTGTCCTTATTGCCAGTGCAACCGTGAGGTCTATCGATCAGTTGCCAGCGGAGCGAGGGTCGCAGTTTCAAGCGACGTCTCAGCAAACCATGCGACGCATGAGGCAAATGTTCTACTCAACATGCGGCCGACCTCCAAAGAGACATCGTAGTCAACTACATTGTTCGTCATCGACCGATCTTGATCGCGATCGAGCGGAAAGCAGGAAAATTAACGCGGCGACGAACGCAACCAGTTTTTCTCGCTCCTCCGGAATATCCGTACACTGACGATATCCGAGTTCTTACCTACTGTCCAGGTTTTCGTTCGATTTTGCTTTGGCCAATGGTCATTGATCGATCGTCTTCATCCAATTCGATCGAAACCTACGGCTGTACCCCGAAATTGCTCTGCTGACAACAACCGCCCATGAGCCGACTGCCTGCTGTCTTTGCCAACGTTAACAGAAGTACACAACAGCAATAAGAGCACAAAAAGGAGTGGCTTTCGATTCGGCCTGCGTTAGCGAGCGAATGTCTATTGATTTTCATTTATTTATGCAGATTCTCTGCATGCTCTGTTGCGTAAGCACGCGAACCTCCTTCTCACCAGCAACAGCAAGTTCACGGTACTGTACTTTTGCCTCACATGCAAGGCAAATGAAAATGGACATAGAGGCAAATCTGACTTAGATATGCGAATTCATCAACCACTGAAACACGCAGTTTTCTATCGTTTATACTTCGCTGTAATTAACAAACGGTATTGGACACCATCACTCTG